TTCTGGTATGATGGCCACTTCTTTAAGCCCTAAATTAGCCATTTAATTGCTGCCTTGTGTGTGTCCGAATTGTGCCAGAAATGGGGAGGAATTCCGGTAGCATTTAGTAGCATTTTAAATGTGTTTTAAGCTTGATTAAGTAGAATTGAGCTTGAATTAGCTGCTGTGATGTTTTGTGTGAAAATTCCGTGTGTGTGAATTGTGATTTGCCAAAGTTATGCTCTCCCTGTGATGCCGTGAGAAATGGGAAAATTTTGGTAGATTAAGTTATGTTTTTAAGCTTGGTTTAAGTGTAAATTAGCTTGAATTGGGTTGTTGTGATTTTGGAGTGAAATCCCGTGAATTAGCTAGTGTTTTGGCCAAATTGTGGAAGTCGGAGTTACTGTTCACGTCGTGAGCACTGTTCACGGGTACTGTTCATAGGCACTGTTCATACCCCGAGAGTCAACAATTAACGGGGATTTAAATGATTAGTTTGTTATATAAGAATGAATTTGGAGATATTTGATCATGTGGAAATTTATGGAAATAGCTTTGTGATTAGGAATGATCCTAATGATGATTTCAATGTGAATTTGTGATAGTGGTATTAATTCTTGGAATATTTTGATTAGGTTCTTGATCGTTCTGTCAGTTTAGTACGTGAATTGAGTGCTCGGTTTTGCGGAGTGAGGTAAGTAAATTTATGGTAATGCCCATACTGTTTTAAAAGCATGTTTTGATTTGTTTTTGAAGTGGTGGCAGGACTAAACCCGTTTTACACAAGTATGACTGATTTGAAGTGAAATGTTTTATGCTTTTCATTAAATTGAGCATGCCTACTTGAAATTTAAGTGATTGTCCTGATGATCTGAAAGTGATTGTGAATTGTGATTTTCTTGTTAACTTCTGCATGTTTTGTCTCTGATATGGTCATGTTATTTGTGTGCCCGCTAGTGGGAGGTTTATAAACGCTAGCACATGTCGACATGTTCATGATAGAACCGGTTCGCTCGTGGCCCTACTAGTGGGGATTATACACTAGTACTCGTGTGCCCGCCAGTGGGAGGTTTATAAACACTGGCCATGACCTATAGAGGAGACGTCTATTTCATGCCCGTACTGTATCCGTTTTTCGTGATTACACTTGTTAGCATGCTATAAGTTTAATTAAGGGCAATCCATATTTTACTTACTGAGTTATCTCACCTCGGTTTTCTCATCCACCATTTCAGGTAGTGTGCCCCGAGACTCGGAAATCAAGGGGAGTGACGTGATAAAAGGCTAGCCACTTGAGATTTGACATAGATTTTAGATACATGTACACCACGCTCTTGTAAGTTAGATTTTAATTGGAAATTTTATGGTATCAAAACTGATTTTGTTCAATAAGTTCCGAGCCTTGTGCATTTGTGGGACCCGTTTCACGAGTGCACGGCGTCTGTCGCGCCTCATATTCGGGTTCTGGGGCGTGACATATGTTGTCGATGAAATTGAGTTTTCTTGTAGTGCATGTGATGCTGAACTAAGAAAGCATATTTAATCCTTAATGAGCTTTCTAAGCATTCATTTTGTTAATTTTGAAAGCTTAGAGTATTCATTTATTTTTGTAATTTAAGTTCTACTATATTGTAATATCCCAAAATTTTGTGATATTTTAGCATTAAGTAAGGACTTTTGTGGAAGAAATAATGTTTTGGGGCCAAATAGATAAAAACTCCAAAGTTGAGGGACTTAAAAGAAAGGAAATGAGATAAGGATCAGCTTCTTTTTCTTTTTCTTTTTTTTTCTTTCTTTCTTTTCTTCCTCATCAGACCCCCGTGTCCTGCTCTTCTTCTTCCTTCCGACCCCCTGCAACCCGAAAAGCCCCCCAAGTTGCTGACCGCCCTCTCTTGAGGAAAATTGGCAAAAGCTTAAATTTTTCCCTTGCTTTCTTGTCCAAGAACAAGAATTAGGACCTAGAAGCCTCCTGAAGCAAGAAAATTCCCAAATCTAGCTGCCTTCCTCCTCCCCTGCCGTCGGTTTCAGCTTGGTGTGGGTGTGAATTTCTCGGTTTTTGGGTAAGCAACAACCATGGAATTCATCTTTTCTCTCTTAATTTGGCTTGGGTTCACTCTAATTGCTCTTATTTCTTTCCAATTTGGTGTTAGTTCTTCTCCAATTCCCGCCAGGCTTGGTTTGGCTTGCCAAAGTTCTCTGGTATGAAACAGCTTTTAAAGCTGAATTTTAAGCCATTTAATTGTTGACATGCTGAGTTTTAATGGTTGAATTGCTGCCCTATTGTTGTTCGAATTTTCTGCTGGGAATAGGAAGGGATTCGGAAAATGGGACCATGATTTTGCTTAATTCATGTAGGAGTTAGTTTAAGTAGGCTGTTGTGATGTTCTGGAGAGAAAATCCCGTGTGTGTGAGTTGTGGTTTGCCAAAGCCATGCTCTCCATGTGCTGCCCGTGAGAAATGGGAAAATTTTATGTGTATTATGCAATATATAAATGCACAATTGATTTGGTGCTCGATTTCGGATAGAAAAATGAATAAATAAAGAAATATGGTATTATGGGGGTTAATTGCTGGCTAAATTGGAAAAGGATTAAATATGTCGTTTTGTATGGGTATTAATTTTGAAATATTTGATTAGGTGCTTGATTATTCTGCACTCTAGCACTTGGGATTAGTGTTCTGTTTGGTGCGATTTAAGGTAAGTAAATTATGGTAATACCTTTTGATTTTAAAGCATATTTTAAATTATTTTTGAGATGGTGGCAATGTTTAAATTGATTTTAAATTGATTTTATTTGCACCGAGTATGATTGGTTGAAATGAAATTGTTTTCATTTGCATTGAGTAGAGCATGCCTATTTGGAATTGACTGAATTGCCTTGATGAATTGAGAATTTTGTAAATTCTGAGTTTTTCTGTTAAATCCATGCTCACATGGAAATTTTTCGATTTATTTCTGAAATTTGAGATTGATTGTGAATTACAGATTTTTCTGTAAATTCTGCATGGTTTTGTCTCTGATATAGTAATGATTACTGATGCCCGCCAATAGGAGTTTGTAAACGCTGGCACATGTCGACATGTTTACTGATATGATCGGTTCATTCTGTAATCTTGCCAATGGGATGATACATTGGTAATTATTGACTCCTGCCAATGGGCGAATACATTGGTAATTACTGACGCCTGTCAATGGGAGTTTGTTAAACACTGGTCATGACTTATAGATGAGACTACTATTGAATTTTCTTCTGCATTAACGGTTTGTCATTGAACGCTTTGCTATTGAACTGAATCTGATTCTACATTAACGGTTTGTCATTGAACGCTTTGCTATTGAACTGAATTTGATTCTGCATTAATGGTTTATCATTGAACGTTTTGTTCTGTTAAACTGTTTATCAGGCATGCAAAAATTTTACCTAAGGGCTATCCATATTTATTTACTGAGTTATCTTATAGTTTTTCCTTGTCCACCATTTTAGAAAGCGAAGTCAAGGACAGGGAAAAACGAGGGGAGTGACAAGTTAGAAAGCTAGCCATCTTGTAAACTGAACATGGATTTTAGATATAAATCATGATCTTGTAAGCTAGACCTTATTTGGAGATTTTATGATATCAAGGCAAATTTTAAAATTTTATCTTCAGATTTTGTGGTATTAGTTGTGGTATGATAAGTTTCGAGCCTTGTGCATTCGTGAGACTTTCTGATAAGTGTACGACATCTGCCACGTCCTTGGATTTGGGTTCTGGGGCATGACATATATATTGTATTTATAATTTATTCTTCATTCTCCTTCATTTTTTTTATTGAATGTTCGTGTGACTAAGTCACGAGTATTATTTAGTTTTGTTTTAATATGATTTATTATAATTCAATTTGCTTTAATAAAATTAAATGACAGCTGATCAATTCATTTATAAATTAAGAATTAATTATGGTTGGGACACATTAATTGTTTTAATTTTTAAACAATTATAAAAACAAAATTTGAGGTTAAAATAATTTTTTTGTACTATTGAAAATTTTTTTAAAAAATTCTACATAATCATTTTCTATATTGTGAATTTTTCACCTAATATTTAAAATTTTAAAAAGTCAATTAGTCAATGAAAAATTAATCACGTCAACACTTAACTAACGAAAAGATTAAATCGGTACAAAAAATTGAAGCTAGAGAATATTTTTAATATTTTCTAAAGTTAAAAAATAAATTTTATGCAAATTTAAAAGTTAAAGGATGAAATTGATATTTTAACCCTTGTTTAAGAGAACAACCAAGTTAGTATTGAGTGTATAGTTGCCCCTTAGACTTTGTTTGGATTGAGAGAGTTGGGGAAAAGGGGAGCACAGTGAGGAAGAGTTCTCTTCTATCTCATGTTAAGCTAAGCTTATTAAAGGAGGGGGTAGATGGAAAGGTAATAAATTCCCTCCAAATTTTTCACTTCTAGTCCCTCTATTTGAGAGAATTTTGAAGAGATTTGATTTATTTCTATTTGTTTTACTTTTTTTCAAAATCGTAATAAAAACTTTTATTAACTTTAATTTTCATATATAAAATTATAAAATTTTAATTAATTTTATAATTAATTTTCTTTAATTTATTTAATTAAATAAAAAAATTCTTCCCTCTCCTCTTCCTTTACTTTTTTTTAATCTATGTAAATAAAATTAATACTAATCATTCACCCTATCTCCCTTTCCTTCTCTTCTTTCACCCTCCTTTTCCTTTCCTTCTCTTCTTTCACCCTCCTTTTCCTTTCCTTCTCTATCCTTTTCTAACTTTTCTCCAAGCAATATCCTTAGTCCTTACTGATTTGTTTGTGGATGGAGCTCTTCACAATGGTGGTTGAACGAACAAAATACATCTTGTCTTTTCTAGCTTTTGTTGACTTCATCTTAAGTTTGCTCTCTTATTTCTTAGTTTCTAAGTTGCTTTTGCCTTCTTTTTCCTATTGCACCTTTAGTTTGCAATATCATTCTTAGGGGTTAATTACTAATATTATAGAATTTAATATCCAGCATTGACTACACACGCGCACTTGAAAAAGGAGATATATAATATACCCGGTTTCATTTTTTTCCTCCCAAGCGTACACGTCTCACCTAACTCTGATTAGATCATTGAAAAAGATATGCAAATTCACGAAAACTTAATTTCTATAACAGATGTAACATTTTGTTGTCTTTTAAGCATGGGAAATATTTTTTTATGAGTTTTTTTATTTTTATTTTATGTCAAATTTCGAAATAATAACTATTGAGTGAGATTATTATAATAACGAATTCATCCACCAATGGATTGTTAGAAGAATTTCCTTTTATGGAGTACAACCCTGTTCTACTTCAAATTATTCGGAATTCAATGTGACTTTTGAATATTGAAGATTTAGTATATAATAAAAAAAAAGAAGAAAGAATCAATTCAATCAATCCACATTGAATAGTTTAAATTATACAATCTCATACAATCTAAATTACACAATATTTTTTTTTATCAAATAGATAAGAAAACTTCTCCCTCTATACTCATTTATCTATTTGTTTTAAGTTTTGCAAATATAACTTTTGGTAATGCATTTATAAAACATATGAAAGACAATTGACATTTTTTTATCAAATGAAACTACTTAACAAGTAGTACATATTGAAAAGAAAAAATTAATTATCATTCATATGCTAGGTAAAAGTATCATTTAAAATTAACATATAGTTATATGAACAAATAAATAGGGATAAAGGGAGTACTATATATCTTGGAAAATCCAATGTTAAACCCCTAAACTTACCTTAACATAACCCCTCAAACAAAAATTTAGCCCTATAAATGCCTTAAATGCAGGGATAACAATTTTCTCTACAACTCATAGAGCTTTGTAAGGATTCTCATTATAGGGATGGAGGTGATTTTGTCCATGAAAAATTTCACAAAGAATTTCTCCCACCCCACAAATCACCTAGGGAATTGTAAATTAATAAAAAATTATAAATTATATTTTTATACATTATAATAAACCTAAATATTTCAATTCTCAAACCCACAAATCTTAGTTACAAACACTTTGACTCTCATGTCTCTTCTCTCTATTACCTTAGTTCATCCCGACCTCACCTCTTTGTTTTATAGGTTTCTCTTAATTTGCATATTAACCTTACTTTATTTATTTTTTTGATACCAAAGCTTACTTTTTTTTTTTTATTTAATTTGATTCATCTTCTAGACAAATAAATATTTAGAAATAATTAATTTTTCTAAAATGCTTTTGGACTTTTTTTTTTTTTTAAACTAAGAATTGAATGAATCAAAGTACTTTTGTATATAACCAAACAAAAATTATATACTTTTTATATACTTTTGCATGAATTCTCTATACCTGTAAAGACCCCTCATTTCTCACAAGGATAAGAATGGAGGATATTTTTTTACTTTCTATCAAAAATCTCTGTAAAAATCCTTATATCTCCACTAATAGTAAGAACAAGGATGGGAGGGGGTGGGGACCTGTTGTCACCCCTACTTTAACGCCACAATTTGAGCAAATTAACACTTTTTAATGATTTGTATTAGTTCCATTAGGAATGTCATCAAGAAAACGGTTAAATTGCAATTTAAATCTATATTCTTTTCAAATTTAAAAGAATATTAGTTCCTAAGTTTGTGCTATTTTTTACTATAAGTTGTACCTATTTTTCCTATAAGTTAGGGTCAACTAACACATAACTTTTACCCGTAACACATATATCAAATCTTGATCATTTATCTTTTCATTATATATAAATGGCTAAGAATTTATTCACTTTTTATTCTATATTTTTTAAAGCTACTTGTCTTTTCATAAAAAAATCGTAATGAACTCAGTCATTAATAATGAAAATGAATGGTTATGATTTTGTACAAGACTTGTTTGTAAAAAGATCTTATTTCTTTTACTATAGAATATAAAACAAGTATTACTTCTTGGAGCTTCACTTTGAATCTTTAACCCCCCTAGATTCAAATCTTCAAACCAAGATTCAAATCTTCAAACCAAGATTCAAAATTTTCATGAATTTTTGGTACTTGGCCAATTTTTGTCCCAATCCCAAGAATCTAATTTGCAACTCAAGAATCAAATATAGCCCTCTAAGATTCGGTTCTTCACTTCTATATTTGGATCTCCTTTGTCGTCCAAAATTTCCATGCTTTTTGGTTGCAAGACTCAAATCTAAAAACCTATTTTCGAATCCTTAAGCATTTTCTATGTTTTTCGTAGCTCAACTTCAAATCATTATATCTTTCTCATTTAAACTCCATTTTAGATGTTTTTATACTCATTGAAAAGCTTATGATATCTACTTTTATAGGAACTAACTCTTGAACAAAAAACTCCCATGGTAGACATATGCATTCTTGAACAAATGAGTGAAGGTCATCGTTGCAATGCATGGAGGTTTGATTTTATATGAGCTCTCTCTATAACTCTTTCCTTTGTCCTACATACTTGTACAAAACACATTAATTAAACTTCTCCAATAGTTTTGTTATCATCAAAATCATTATAGGATCTAAACAAAGGGGCACACCACCCATATCAGTTTGATGCATTTAGGGAAATTAACCTCCTCAATTATTGACCTTAAGAAGGAGATTTAATTAGTTTACTTAAATACTTTTTATTCAATAAAAAATGTTTATAGAAAAGTGATGCAATTCGCATTAGTGTTTTGCACTTTGATCTAAAGCAAATGGCACAATTATAATGATGGATGAATAAGTGCCCCTTGAATATGAGGTTTTCCTCCTCAAAATCAATAGTCAATTTATTACATTTCGACAAAACAACATTTACATATTTTTTGACATTTTCCGTTGGACCAACTTAATTTGAATTTTGTTCCTAATTTAAGTGGTTAGGTTTAATTTTATTTGGGTTTGCTTGAAGAGGTTCAAGCCTTGTAATTGACGCAATTCTCATCTCATTGGTGCTGACGTCAAAAAATGTTAATTTTGTCCTCAACTACTCAAACGAATTCGTATAAAGGATAAATATCCTTGCTTTAAAAGGTGAAGTTTTAAATCTCTGCGCATTTTATGGTCTTTGCCGTTGTTGATCGGGCAAGCAGCATGCAGCATGGCGTCACGGCGAGAACTAAGTTGTTGACATCCACTTTCGTTCATACGTACGTCACTCATCGAATGAAATCCTACCTCGCCTCTAGCAATTGACCCTTATGAAATAAAGAAGGGAAAACGAAAACTCATCGAAGATTATGTAGCGGTTTTATGGCAATGGGTGTTTGACCAAATCAGTAAATGGATGGTTGTGGTATAGTTACGCATTAATTTATTATGATTATATAATATTATTTAAAAAATTATTAATTTTGTTTAATTTAATTATTAAAAACAATTAATAATAATAATGATTATTATTTAGCTTTAGTTCAAAAAAATAATTAATAATTGATAAAATAAATAATATTTATAACTT